TGCGTTGGTCATGATAGCTGCCAAGCCGTGAACACGTAATAGCCCTTTGGGCATTTAACTTTTGACGTCCCTGGGCGCAATCTGGGCGAGCCGTGAACACTTAATAGCCCTTTGGGCATTAAACGTTGACGTTCCTGGCCGCAATTTCGGCGACCCGTGAACGCTTAATAGCCCGTTGGGCATTTAACTTTGACGTTCCTGGCTGCACATGTTTTTGTAACTGGGGCCGACATTCCGTTGTGGAAAAAAAACAAAAAGGGAAAAAGATTTATCCCTAGGTTCTTGAATCTCATGCTTCTCAATTTCAGTTTTTTTTTTTTTTTTTTCCTGGAGTTGTTAAGTCTATTTTTTTGGAAAAAACAGATAAATGAAATGCTCATATAGGCCAGGCCATATGTCTATTTTTAGATTTATGAAAAACAGCTGAATGGAATGCTGTTATTGTCCTTATATGTCTATTTTTAGATTTAGCAGATTGTATTCCGTGGGTGAATCGTTCACTATCATTTTATTGTTTTGATTAATCCTTCGAAATTCTCGTTTGGATGGGACCTGCACTGCAGTCAACTGCCTTGGAACTGTTGGTGCTTGGTGAGGATGGCAGTCTGCGATCTGTGTGGGAGCAGGCGGTATTTGGGACCATCAGGGACCTGAAGGTATTGCCATGGAACAAGGACGTGAGGCATGCAACACCGCAGGTAGGTGTTGAGACTCGAGAGAGCACAGGAAAGAAAGTTCAGCGTAAAAAAGAAACAACTTTTTTTGTAATCATATGTGAAACGGTCGCCCGTCCCTTTCTTCTTTTTTTTTTTTGTGCTTTGGTCCCTGTTTGTGTGTGTGTGTGTGTGTGTGTGTGTGTGTGTGTGTGCGTGTGTGTGTGTGTGTGTGAGAGAGAGAGAGAGAGAGAGATGTTCAAGCCTTTGAATTTGGAGGCATGGAATCATCAGTCATATTTCTTGAGTTAGTAGTAACTTAGTACCTATTGCTGTTGTATAGATCTGAAGGAAAAAAGGCGTGGACTTAATTCTTCTCACTCCCAAAATATGGTCTGACTTGTCTGCTGCTATTTGGTGATTGGAATGCATCCTATATCTGTGATGCTGTGCTATGTGGCTAGGCATAGGTGATGCCATGCTATGCATGCTCTGATTTTTGTGCTGGTATTTAGTGATTGCTCGCGGCCTTTTCCGGATGCCGTACCCGTGTCCCGGGTTCAATCGCCGTGGGGTCACCGCATTCCTGGAGTAGGGTTGGCGTGAATGCGGTAGTCTTCACTCGAATAGAACGCCGGGGCATTATCGCGGTATCTAGACTGGAAGTTGCCCCGAGTACATCTATAATGACTGGGCGTTCTCTTCGGATGAAGACGGCAGCATAGATGAGCTCCTTAAAAACTCCACCAATACCGTGCTCGGGGAAACGTTTCCAACTCATTTGTGCACAACCGCATGCTTGCGGGGGAACAGTGCTACGGGATCAAAATGGCTGGCGGCACCAGCAGCCAAAAGAAAAAGAAAACACCTCTGTGGTGGTAAGGTGTTTGTACATCGTTTGTCTGTTTCACTCGTGTGAGGTGTTGCACTGATGTGGTGACCTTTCCTTGTCCTTCCTCTGGCTCTGTTGTTGTATGAAAGCAGGTTTATGGAAGAGACTTGCTTGCAGTTTTGTCAGATTCAGGGCACCTGTCATTTGTTACATTCTGTACAGACGCTCACAGGTTGGTCATGGCATCCCTTCCCTTTTGTTCTCGATTCTCACGTGTGTGTGTGTGTGTGTGTGTGTGTGTGAGAGAGAGAGAGAGAGAGATGCTGAAAAGCCTGTGGCCATGCTACATTCCATGTGTAGGTGAGCTGACGATCTGTGCCATGCCCGTACTTTTTCTTTTCCTTTTTGTCAATCTTTCCTTGTAGTAGGAAATCAATCTCGTTTAATGCTGTTCCTCCCCACCCAACCCCCTTCCCCCGGCCCCCCCGCCCCCTCCCCGCCTAACTGCTCTTCACATTCTGACTATCCTTGTTTCATGCCAGCGAAGCTATGCTGGGCCATCTTGCTGCATCCAAAAAAACGTGCTCGTTCTAGAGTGCTTCGCGCATTGAATGTTTTACCAAGGCCCTAACTTTTGCGTTTTTGTTCTTGAGGGGATGGGCACCCAGGGGGTGCACACACACCTGCATGTGGCTGGATATGGATCAAGTGGGGGTGCCTTCCTGGAGCTGGGGTACGTCTTCTTGGGCCTTTTTTTTCCCGGGCCCCTGATGAGGTTTGGTGTGTTTGCCTTTTTTTGTTGTTTTGCCTCTCTCTGGGGTCTGGTTTTGCAAGGCGGGCTTCCTTTTCAGGTACCGTCTCTCTTCTGGGGTGTTTTTTTTTTCCTGGTTCTCTCTTAGTATGGTTTTACGGGTAAAATGCAGCTACCGTTTGTATTTTTTTTAATTTTTTTTTTCCACTTTCCTACTCGGCGTGCTTTTTTGGGGTAGTGTTTCTCTCTTGGGGCTGGTTTTGTTTTTCTGGCCTCTGACAAGTTTCAGTCTGTCTGTTTTTTTCTTTGATGTGAATGTTGGATGAAGGTTCCTGGCAATATCTCATGTACACCTGGCAAATTCTGGTTTTGCAAGGCGAGATCTTGGTTGGCTTCTGGCAGTAGAACAGAGGTACGCCCATCGACTCTCAATTTCGGAATTTCCCATCCTTCTTGTTTTTTTTTTTTTTTTTTTTTTTTTTTTTGGTTGAATGAAGGAGAGCTCCACTGTTTGTTTCTCGGGGTAGTGGAGGATGTTGACGATTTTTGCGGATTGATAATTAGTAATTACCCGCCTGGCTAGCTCAGTTGGTACACCTGTGAACTGTTGAAATACAGACCCAAGTTCCAATCTGGATGCATTCAGATGAACAGAATACTATGAGTCTGAAAACCTGGGGCCGGTCAGCGCAATGGTGTATCTCAAGGCCGTCTCCCTTTTTTAAGAAAGATAATAATTAGTAATTACCCAGCAGATGGCAGGCGATACCTCAAGTATCATGCTGCTAATTCCCCATCAAGTCCGCCCATGCTGCTACTTCAATGGCAGGGACATGTATGTAGTTTTGGTATACCTCAGGGTATGGTATCAGTTGTTGGGCAGTCGTTGATGCTTAACCTCAACCGGGGTTAAGGCGGATTATAACTTACAGTGTAATCAGTTAGGGGACTCTGCAGACTATAGAAGGTTCAGCCTTCTGATGAGTCGGTGAAACTCCGACGAAACAGTTTGTCACAGCTCTTCGTTTGTTGTCCTCTTCTCCCTCTCCGCCTATGGTTCACCGGGCAGCTCTGTTTGACGATATATGGAGTATAAAGCGAGGCTTGCTTCTCGTCTCTGCGGAAAAGTCAGTCCACAAACCCAAAGAGTGAAAAGTTTAATATTTAGTCTTATAGTGTTTGGGAATCGATGTATATTTTTAATTTCTCAAAGACCTTAGTTTGTATTTAGTTGATAATAACGTAAGTCCGCATGAAGACCACAATAAGGGTATAATACGACTCACAGCCGCCAAGCGAGCCACAAAGGAGTGGTAGTTAAAAGTGTGATGGGTTTTTGCATTGTAAAGTGCAAGTACATCTGCATGTTTCGGTTGGCTGGGCGGTTCCTATTTTGTTTTCTCCGTCTGTTCTTGTTGCGAGGATCCAACACCTTGGTCAGCAAGGAGAAGGCCCCGCCTGCCCTAAGTAGTGAAGGTGGACCTGCAAAGATGTGTCCTGGCCTGAGTTCAGGCCAGTGTAACGAGAATTGGGCCCCCCGGTAGTGGCTCCATGCGTGCAGCATCTTGAACTAGTAAGTAGGCCCAGCCCTCGAGTTGGTTGAAGATACTGGGCCTCGTGCACATTCTGGAAGGGCCCAGGGCGCAGGAAACTGGGACAGGGCACAGGCTGGGCACAGCCTCCTCAGCCTTTTGAGCCAGCACAAAAGAGTGAAGGGCGCCTAGCATCAGACATCCATGCGTGGACGCATGTGGCAGCGCTGCACGAGCTGCTGGGCACAGGGTGGGCACAGCCTCCTCGGCAGCACAAAAGACTGAAGGGCGCCCAGCATCAGACATCCGGGCGTGGAGGCATGTGGCAGCGCTGCACGAGCGGCTGCTTAACGCTGGTGCACGGGGAGGAAGCTGTGTGGTGGCACCGAGGTGCAAGAGAGGGAGAGTGGCAGCCATAGCTGGGCTGTCTGGCCCATAGCCGGTGGTGGAGTAGCGAAGGTCCTTGTGGAACAGGGAGTGGGAGGAGTCCTTGTGGAACAGGGAGTGTGAGAAGGAAGACAGCACGTACCTGGTGTTGACAAAGGCAGGCTGTTCGATCAGGGTCTTCAAGCGGCATTGAGATGATGACAGGTGGACCAGTTGCTGACATAAGTGGGCTAGCCTGATAGGAGTTTTAGGAGGTACAGTCGGGGGATACAACCGCATGTAGGAGGGCTATATTGTTGTTGTATTGGCCATTGGAGGCATTGAAAGGGCTTTCCTTATCCAGAGACTTCAGTGCTTTGCTCGTTCCTATGTGGTGTGAATCTCACTTTGATTTCTGCTTTCGTTTTTGGCTCAATGATGTCCGGTGTTCTGTGAGATGTTGCAACCTGGTTTATGTGCTGTTCGCATTGCTTAATTCCTTTGTGCTGTCCTGATTGGTCGGTCTGTCACTGTTTCGGTTCTGGTTCGTCTGTTCTCGAATGCAAGCAAGCAGAGGTCAGGCTATTGCGGTTGCTGCTTTGAAGAATCGAGTGGCTGTGTTTCCTGTGGTTCGGGCAGCGAATAACAGCATTATCCGAAAGGTAAAAATTGCTCGCTGTTCCTGTGGTGCGGGCAGCGAATTACAGGATTATCTGTCTTCCCCCGAATAGAACACACACACGGTCATTATAGCTGTATTTGGGGCAACGTTTTCGCCAGAACCAGCTGTGATGACTGTGCGCTGTATTCGGGTGAAGAGGACACTCAATAGAATCCATGCATGCTGGTGGAAGAGGACGGAAGAAGACAGCTGGGCACAGCATGGGAAAGAAGCAGTTACTTGGTCTTTTTTCTGGTTGATAGGCAGAAATAGTAGACCCCTATAATCATGTGCTCGCTGCTAAGTCAAGCGTTCAAACTCGGATGGTGAGGAGATTGATGCCTTCAGTTGTATAGCTGGGCACATCGAGGGGTTGTGTAGCTGGGTACATCGCACACACTCTGTTGTTGTTCGGGGGGTGTACTCTGTAAAATTGGAGGGACAATGAAGGAACCTGATGAACCCATTAGTGGAAATGTAATTATTATATCTGTGAAAGTATTTTTGAAAAAAGCTTCGCCTCTGATCGGGTAGCTGGAGTCGTAATCTTCTTCTTCTTCTTCTTGTATTTTTTTGTCCTTTTTTTTGGAATCGTTACCTTCGTAGTAGTTTTTAGTGCATTTGTACGGGAGAATGTTTTTTTTTTTATATATATTTTTTGCCGGAAACCAGGCCCGGTGCCCCTTACAAGAAAGGGGCGGCCCCATCGTCATTATCCAGGCACTCTGGACTGGTTCATTCCAGGGCTGCAAGACAAAACCAACAACACCAAAACCTATGAAGCCCAATCGGGCGCAGTGCGAAGCGCCCAACAAAATCACCAAAAAGGCAACCTCCTCGCGATTCAGGGCGAGTTGCACCACCATCCTCATTCATCGCCACCAAGGAACACCAACTCCCACCGCGTTGGCGTCTTTGCATGCCAGCAGATATACCCTACCACCTGCGCGGCAGGGGCCAAAGACCCTGCAAAACCCTCCCACCTCCTCGCGATTTAGGGTAAACCCCATCCCCAATCTGCATCCACTCCCTAACCGAACTTCGCCGCCCTTCATCATGAGGTCCCAGTGGAGCTATGCTCTCCAGTCCATCTCAAAAGACTCAGACGATGGCCAAACCAGAAGCAATTACAAAAGGAGGAATGTCAAAACCCAATCTTCTGAAGCCAGCAGAAATACCTTACCAGCCGTGCGGCAGGGGTCGAAGACCCCGCAAACAACCCTCCCATCTCCTTGCGATCTAGGGCAAACTGCTCCCCTAGTCTGCATCAACTCCCTAAGAAACCCTACTGCCCACCATGACGGGGTCTCTGCTGAGAGACACTCACTCATTCACCAATTTGCTAAGCTCGAGGAACCAATGAAAACCCAAAGAAAGCCCCAGGGCGGAACCATCAGACAACCACGATGCCTAAAAAAGGTGCCGAGGTCCCACCCTCACTCACCTAATGCAGCGAGGTGTGCAAATTAAAGCCGAGCCAGCCAGAACTATACCACAGTAAACACCACGAACAAACGGGCGAACGGGATCCAGAGAAAAACCGAACACTACAACAAAAACGCTCTCTCTCTCTCTCTCTCTCTCTC